TTTTGTTTTTTTGGTTTTTCTCCGGTACCGAGAACGGAACTCACGACCTTGCGCTTGCCAGGCAGGCGCTTTGCCGCTGAGCTAAATCCCCAGCCCCTTTTTTTAGCTTTAATCTTCAATGCATTATTTGGATTTTATTTTTAATGTGGTTAATGATTTCTAAAGACAGTTCTTTGTGTTCTTTTATAAAGTTTCCTGTTATTATTATATAGTTGCAATAACTTCTAAATTTAGATAGAAGTTTTGTGAAGTTTTCTTCATGTTGTCTTTATTTCATTTCTTTTTCAGTTTACTTTTAGACTTTCCTCATACATTGCATAAAATGTCAGTAGGACATTTTATTTTATGACAGTAGGACAATGTAGACCTTGTCTCTTTGGTTTGTTTCTCTGATGACTAATCCTCTTACTTTCTCACCTGAGACATTTATAGCTAACCAACGTCATTAGGGAAGCTAAAAAAAGAAAGAAGGTTGGAAATTTCACCCTTCCAGTGTGGACTTTGAGTTAATTTCTGTTTTCAGTTCAGAACTTTATTCCAAATGCAAACTCTCAGATCCAGAGGCTTTCTGGCCTGCCTCCTCAGATGAAAGACTTCAGAATTATGCCAGTATAAGCAAGGGTAGAGGGAGGGCAAATGATCTCACTAACTTCAACCAATTCTCATACTCTTAGCCTTACCTGGTACCTCTATCTTTGTAAATATCTCGTTCCTCAAATTTCTGTTTTTGTGTAAATATAATGGCAAAGCACTGCCACTTGTCTTCCGCATGCAATCTCTATTTTTATAGCAGCAATTATGAGGCATATAAATGATTAGAAAAATAACCTATTAAATTTGTACACAGTGTCATTTGAGTAGATGTAAGCTTCTAAAAGGTAGGTCCATGTCTGCCTTGTTTACTGCTGTCTTCAGAGCCACAGTCATGCCAGGTATACCTTCTCTGCCAAGTGAATAATGATATTACTGAAAAGACTATGAAGATAAGGGTATAATTTTAAAATTAAACTATTAATTTCCTTCAAGTCAGTCATCTGCAATAATTTTTTTCTCTCTATTAGGAAAATATCTGCTGGGGGCTGGGGATTTAGCTCAGCGGCAAAAGCGCCTGCCTGGCAAGCGCAAGGTCATGAGTTCGGTTCCCGGTACCGGAGAAAAAAAAAAAAAAGGAAAATATCTGCTGTACTTCAATTGATCTGCATTCACAATACCAATGAGGATATGAGAAATGGCAGCTAATCACAAAACAGGTCTGAAGTTAGAATGAAGGTAATTATATATCTTTTGTACAACAGGTGGTATGTTCTCTTGTCTGCAGCAAGCAGTATGGTGAAATGAGCTCAACAGGTGATAGTAAAAGCTACCTTGGGAATCTCCTACCTCACTTTTTTACTGCATCTCCTCACCTGTTCTGATGGGCAGCACAACTATCACTATTATACCAGATGCAATCAGACTAGTAACGTATGAAAGGAAGAGACACCAGCTGATTTGAAAACAAATATAAAAACTTAAAGATAAGGCTGTTAATATTTTTTAGCAAAGACTTCACAAATAAATCATAATATGTTTGTAGAAAATTAGTAGTAGCAAGGGAAAAAAATCATACTAAATAATAAGCAGAGAAAAGATTTATCCAATTTCAACTAATGAACTGACACTGTTATTTTAAATAGAATTAATTTTATTTTCCCTCTAAAAGTTGCCTAATTACAAAAACTGAGAAGTAATTTCCTCACCTGGTCACAGCATCTACCAAGAACGGTGCCGGGGGAGAGATCAGGGAGAGTCCATCTTTACTACCACATCCCTCCTTCTCTGCTAAAGTCGTTCCGCAGCCAGCAAGTCCATTAGAAAAGGCACTGCTCTGCTGTGGGAGATACACCACATGTCTGAACACCATGGTAACAACACTTACCTGCTCTGTACCTCAGCTCCAAATCAGCTCTACTAATGACTGGGGCAAGAAGGAAGATAATCTTGATATTCATGCTGATCTGTTTTTTAAACTATCCTTCCCCTCCAATTTTTACTTTTGTTTTGTCTGCATCCTTAAGCATTTACAAACAGTAAGATGAAGCCATGAATTTGAAGCCATTATATGCAGTTAACAGAGCTTTGATAATGACACTCATGTTTGTAAAGAAACAGAAGAACTGATGTCCATTTAGGCCTCCCTCTCAGAAAAGTCACAAATATGGACTTACTGGGATAATCCACCGGGGTGTGATCATGGATGCTGAAGACACCTAAAACAAATTTAAGTATTTACTTTTAAGCAAGACTGACTTATTTTCGTAATTATACTCATAATACTTTCTTCTATTATGAAATGTATTACAGGGAGTGCAATTCTTAATGAGCCCCCTTGACCTGACATGGACTTCTGAATCAAATACTCTTTTCTATAACATGAATGCAGTATCTCACCACTTAAGAACTGGTCATAATTTTAAGAATTTCTAATCTACACATGTATGAATCAAGAATGCTACTCTATTTTCATTTTATTTAGTAATACTTACCTGTACTCCACACTTAGTGTTCAGTTTAACATTCCTTTTTCTGAATGTTCAGTTAACTACAAATAATCATAGCCTTCTAAGTAGCATTCTAAGCAATGGATTGTGACTAATCCAAATGAGTAGCACAAAGAAAGTACTGAAAATGTGTTTATAAAGAGGTAATTCTCTAATTATCATGCATGTGTGAAGAAAGCATCAATAAAAACACCCATTTTGCTCCTGATTCACAGTCTTTGTTATATTTGCTTTTCGTGGTTAGTTTTCTAGCTCTTACTTCTCTGTACGGAACTACAATCTAATGAAACTCTCCTACTTTAGAAATTTAAGACTAGTCCTTGCACTGGTGTCCTTATTTGCTCATAAGAAAAATTCAGTGTTAAGTCCAAATTTTAGTAAGTTAGATAACCACCAGAAGAATAAAATACAAAATATGATTCTCCTACAGATACTAAGAAAATGCATTTTAATAGAAGAAAATAAAGCAATACAGAGAGAAAAAATGTAAACAGCAAAAAAAAAAAAAAATGGTTTGGCAGAAATGAATAATAACCATAATTATAATAAATATACTAACTTATATTAGCCATACTATAAACCTATAATAAGTATATAATACAACCATACAGTAACTGTAATTATAGTAAATATAAATATGTTGAACTGAATATGGAGATTCTCAAAATTTTTCAAAAGAGATCCAGCAAAATACCGTTCACAAAAGACCCATTTAAAGTCAATGGATATAGAAAGGTTGAAAATAAAAGCCAGAAAATTATGTACCAAACAATACAAACTTAAGGTTAAGGAGTCAATTTTTGCATCTGTCACAAAGGAAATTAAGAGAGAAAAAAGTGCAAAAAAGAAAAGAAATTAACAAAGGGCTTGCCAGGCATGGTGCCCCACATCTGCAATCCCAACTACAGGGGAAGCTAAAGCAAGAGAACTGCAAGTTCCAGGCCAGCCTGCACAATTCAATGAGATCTCATCTTAAAAACAAAAGAAAGAAAAGAAAGAGAAGAGCAAGCTAAAAGGAACTCAAGAAAGTATAATTATCATGATCATATGTGTATCTCACAATGTATTTTTAAAGTATGTAAAGCAACAACTGAAAGACCTAGCAATATGTAAACAATGGATTAAGTGATAGTAAATTGCTTAAGAGAGATAGTAAAAATAACCCCCAGAAACTGCTAGAATGTTTAGACTAACCTGCAGATTGCCTAATAGAGAATTCAGCAAGTTCACTACACACAAAATCAACTTACACATTCAATAGTAGAAAATTAAACAGCATTCAAAATATCAATAAAACTACAAGATACTTAGAATTTAATCTAACAATATAGAAGACTTACAAGCACACTTAGCAGTAAAGATGAGAAAATGGAGATAATGTATATGAAAAGAAAAATTTCATTTTACAAAAATGCCACTTAACTGAAAAAAGTACAAATTCCATTAAAGTGCCAGAAGGATTTGTGGAGAAATGACAAGCTGATTCTAAAATTTGTAAGTCAGGATACATCAGATAATAAAACATATTACAAAGCCAAAGTCCTAAAAATATTACAGCATTAGAGCAGAAAAAGAAAGGGCGCTATGGAACAGAAAATGGTGGTATCACAAACCAGTTGGGAAAGGATGGATTACTGGGTAGGATTACTTAGTAGATAATATTTGGGAAACCAGTTCTTTATACAGACATATACAAAGTGGGGTCATCCTCAAATCACCATCCCTACTGCTGGCAAAAAAACCCCTAAAAACAAACAAAAACCCCAAAAAAGAACCAAAAACTCAACCCCTAACCGAAACCCAAAAAGCCAAATGTGCTGCGAACTAAAATATGACAGTAAAATAAAATAAAAAGTATATATGGCTAAAACAGAAAATATCATTCTGTGACCTCAGAGATAGGATTAAAGATAAGAAAGAAAATTTAAAAAACCCCAAACCAGAACTGGGTATAGTGTCACACGGCTGTAATCCCAGCACTTAGAAGGCTATGGCAGGAGGATCATTGTGAGGCCAGCCTGGGCTATACATAGTGAGAGCCTGTCTCAAAAAAACGAGAAGAAACAAATAAACAAGCTGTAAACCATAAAGAGATAAATGAAGAATGTATGGCATTCATTCTTCAAAGTTTCTACACAATGATGGGCGCAAATCTGTTTTACTATTCATCTCCCAGAGTTAGACATAGAAACCTATCACAAATGATTGTGATAAAATTCCTCAATGTAAACACAGACTAGGAAAATATTCTTACTGTATAACACTGACATGGAATTAAAACAACACTATATAAATAACTCTTGAAAAGAGTAAGAAGAAGAAAGAAAAATACACAGAAACATGGGCAAAAGATACAAATAGATAATTCAAAGAGAAAACCTAAATCAGTATTAAGAAACTGGAGGAGATATGAAGTTTAAACATACAAATGGAAACAGACACACACATCAAGGTGAAGATACCAGTAAGTCATAAAGTTCAGCTAAAGGAAGAACATGAGTGGAATGAGGACCTATGAGCACTGCTCCTGGAGTTATGCTGGGCAGCAATCAGCAATAATAAGTATAGTTCAGTATTCATTTAAGTTTGTAGCAATCAGCAATAATAAGTATAGTTCAGTATTCATTTAAGCTTGTAGTTTTGCAATCCTATTTATGAATATAAATCCCAAATTCTCCCGTAATCTCTTAAAGGAAATACAGATAAAAATGTTCATCTAAATAGATACATGAAGGTAGCCTGGAAGGACTTATATAAATAAACAGAATGGGTAACTTAGGAGAAAAGAGGAAGAGAAGTGGAGACTGGAGGATAAAGGGAAATGAAACAGAAGCTGTCCATGGACCTGAAAGACTGTGCCTAGATTGAGGGTACATTTAACTTATTTTGGTGTCTCATATTTTTTTAAAGGATACTATCCTACTGATCTTAGGGATATCTTCTTACAAATTTACTTTACATATTTACCCATTCTCAAACTGATGATATTTTTAGAACCTTCCAAAACTTTCTTCCCAGTCTTAGTAATGGATATTCCTGCTCTAACTTTTAGGGTTTGACATGGCTCTTCTCTAAAAAGATGGAATTTTATAATTTGGAAACTCCTTAAGAGTAGGAACCGTAACCTAGATAAAGCAGAAAAATATAATAAAAGAGGCATGGTGGTGCACATATATAATCTTAGCACTCTGGGAGTTTAGGCAGAAGGACTGCAAATTCTAGTCCAGCCTGGGCAACTTAAAGACTTAGACTCTGTTTTAAGAATTAAAAAAGGGCTGGGGCCAAATGTTTTACTTACGTCACACACACACACACACACACACACACACACACACACACACACACAAACGGGCCAGCATAGGTAACTTAGCAAGACCTTGGCTCAAAATTTTAAAAAAGAAAAAAAATGGGGACTAGAATGTAGTTCAGTGATAGTGCTTGTCTAGAATGTGTGAGGTCCTGGATTCACTCCCTAGTATTGCAGGAAAAGAATGTGTATAGTTCTGATAACTGAAAAACCTATAAATCTGACTGAACAGAATCTCTATAAATAGAGCTTAGGATGTATAAAAATCCGTATTTTGCTATTTAAAAGAAGCATTTTAAGTTTGTAGGGAAGGGAAAATATATGGGTGACATAAAACCTTTTTGCTTCAATCGTGCTAGGGACTGAAACCAGAGCTCTGCTCATTCTAGACAAGCACTCAACTGCTGACTTACATCTTCAGCCCTTTTTTAAAAGTTCACTTGATTTTCACCACATCACCACCTGCCCATGATAAAGGGCATGCTTCCAGTCGGTGTTCTGAATAAGCACCCCCACATTGTTCCTTTGGGCTTCAGAACATCTTGTATTAATTTTAGAAGTTATTTCTTTTGTCTCCTTAAGGAATTATTATAGCTTAATATCACCACTATCCTTTTTGTTTTCTGCCTATTCACTTGTGCTAACTTGTGATTATTTCTTATTCTTTGGTAGTCTTTTTGTTTATTGCTTTAAACTGGGGGTTCCTAGGCCACACCTGCATCTTCTGGGAACATGTGTAGAACTGCAATCTTCAGGGCCCCTAAAGACATACCAAATTAGAAACTCCGAGGTGTGGCCCTGTGATCCATGTTTTAGTACGCAGCCCCAAGTGACTCTTAGACCTGGCCAAGTTTGAGAGTTAATAATCCAAAGGACATCCCCCTTCATAGAAAATGTCATCTTACTTCTAGGCCCTTAGAATAGCATCTAGCTCCTGTAGCAATTTTTGTTGTATCTCTTGTAAGGCACTAGTTAGTTATTCATTTATCTCTCACCTCATGTACACTGTAATGTAAGTTCTGGAGAGTTTAAACTGTTTCTTATTTGTACAGTGGCGCCTCGGTTAAGAAACACTTTGTTTTCTTCACCATTACATTTCTCTTATTTTAAAAGCTGTAAGATTTCAAGTCATTTCGTATTTTCTTATGCAATACTCATTCTTAAAACCTTTGACTAGACAACCTTAATTAGCAGCTTTTTAAAAATTAAGTTTGTTGGTACATTTTGTGAACAATTTGGTTCACAAATATAAACATTTGGCAAAATTTTGCTTTTGTACATGAACCTGCACCAGGTGACAAACACAGCTGCAGCCATCTTTCCTGCACTAACACAAATGTGGCCATCTTTTCCAGAATCACAGAATGAAGTAAGTTTGTGAACTGAGGCACCACTGTATTATGGTTATAGCACTTAACAAAGCACCTTCTAGACTAATGATTGGCATGTTAATGTTAACTATGCTCCCATTTGTCTATAAAATTTTTTAAATTTAGTATTCCTTATTGTCTTGATTCACTAAGATGGTTTATCTCCATGTTTTCTCTCATGTTATTTAATATGATGTTAAATTATAGACTTTCAGTGATATGTGACTTCTATACAAGGACATGCAAATTCAAAGCAGTAGAATTTTAGTACAGGAAGATAGAAATTTAGTACAGGAAGACAATCCTAAGTGGTTACTGAAATACAAACTTACTAAATGAAAAAGTTTCAACAGAAATTCCTTTTGATCTTGCTTTCTAAAAGCATATTTACCTGTGGTGTGACTGTGTGATCAATTAGATTCTCAGTTAGAGATAAGAGCAAGGCATCCAATTCATCTGTAGCATCCTATGGAAAATAAAGCACCTAGAATTGTTAAATGATTCCTTTATCACCAGACTGTTTTTTCCTGCTGAGTGTTAATCCTCTAAACAAATAGGGGGATTCAGGAATCATGGTTTGAGGATTTCACTTCTTCATGGAGGGATGTCTAGACTATGATTAGAACTTGAAATGTTCTATAAATTTTCTATACATTTATTTAGTGCCCCATACCGCTATTCCTTTCAGTGAGAGAAAACATGGGTGGTTTTCTGTAGACTAACTGAGAGTGACAAAATGTTCACATAGGAGACAGTGAATCCGAAGGATGCTTCAAATTCTCCCCCAATAAGTGTTAATACTTTTTCCTTTCTTTTCATCTCCTTCTTCTTATTCCACCCCTGGGCTAAGTGTACCATAAGCAGTTTAAAAGTAGAGACCATGTTTCATTCATTTTGTAATCTGTGATGCTCAGCATTATTGTATGGTATGTATTATCTACATAATAAAACTGAACTCAATGTCATTCTCTTTTCTAAAAAATCTCAGGTCATTTAATTGTTTTCAGTGACTAATCAAAGATATCAACGCCTTTTTGGTATTTTTAACTAGCAAAACAAACAAACAAACAAACAAAACCAACTTCCTGGTTGAAGGCATTTTTTTTTCTTTTAAAGTGAAAAGAACAAAAACAAAATAATGACAAAACAACACAAAGACAATAAAGACAATATAGAATTTCAAAATAAGATGATAGGAAATCAATAATGGTTGTTGTATTATTTATTGTTATCTTCAAAGTAGCTGCTCAGAATACCACATATAAGTAGGCAAGATTGATTGACAATGAAACATTACCTGTTCCTTTCAATAAACCAATAGAAATTAGTAGTACAATTATCTTAGCTATCGTGTGTGTGTGTGTGTGTGTGTGTGTGTGTGTATTTCCCTTCCTTCTTTCTTTTTGAAGGCATTTTAGACTGGGTGTTTCTTTTATGCTTCAAAGTTTTAAAGTTTACATACCTAAATATCAACTATACACTCTTTGCATAGTGAGACTAAAGGTGATTTCCAGTTTTTCCTTCTTCATGAAATACTTGGTAAATTTTCAAAACTAATATACATTATGCAGTAAGAGGATGATTTGGTAATGTTAATTTGGAAGGGCAATTTTAAACTTGCAAACTAAAGCATTCTTGGGCAATGAATTTGTATAACTTCTAAGGGGACACAGGAATGACAGAAGTTGGGATGATCTGGTTATATTGCAACACAATCAATGATAGGTCCCTGCTATTTAAAAGTTTATTTTAATCAACAAACATTTATTTAGTGCCTCTTATTTTCCATACACTACTGTTTGAGACAAAGGGATATAACAATTAACACAACATATCAAGTCTGTCACACAGTTTAAATTCTCCAGAGTAAGTCACACTACTAATATCAACATAGTCACCTCTGTTCAAGATACATAGCCTTAACTTTTATCTAACAAGCACTTTAAAAGTATCTATTTGCATGTAACACTGTATATGTCCTAAAGAGGAAAATGAGTGAAGGCATAGTTAGCTCCCAAAACAAAAATGCAAACAGGAACATAAACTAAAGAGGAAACTCTGAGATACACTTGGGAAGGGTACGTCACTAGGACTCTCCCTGGAGAAGTGAGGTTCAATGCATTTCTCACAATACTAATCAGAAATCATCAGACGTCCCTAGACTGAACTCAATGTTGTATTTGGAAAACTTCAGAAAGTATTCTTACCTTTAGAACAGCATCCTTGTCCACAGGTGTGATATGTGTCACAGGAAGAGAATCTTTGGAGACAGGCACATTATTCTCACTTAATACAGCACTAGGGAACAGAAAAGGACAAATTCAGATCATGGAGGACCTGTAGGAAAAGGCAGTATGTTTGAAGAAAGGATTCAGGAAAAAAGAACTAGGACTCAGGAGAGAAGTACCAGAGTTCATCTGTCCTTCCACGTTTAGTTCTCTGGTACCTCCTTTGCATCACTACCTTTGTGCTTCGGGGACATTATGAAGTAAAATAAGATGACTTGACCATGATGATGCAGCAGTCTGAGAGCTGTGAAGGGTGCTATGTAACAGGTGGGTGGTGCATGCAGGGCGCACAGAGCAGACAAAGTGATGCTGTGAGACTGCATCATGCTACTTAGAACAATGTGCAATTTAAAACAAAATTGTTTATAAGAGTGTCCTGGAATTTTCCACTGAATATTTTTAAACATTAAGTGGATGACCACTGAAGCTACAAAAAATAAAACCACAGATAAGGAGGAACCGCTATATAAAGGACTTTACAACTCAACAAAAGGATAAACAACTCAAATAACAAATGAACAAAGACCCCTATAATAAATATTTCTTTAAAGGGATACACAAATGGCCAATAAATACACAGAAAGATGCCCGACATCCTTAGTCATTCTAAAAATGTAACTGAAAACCACAATGAGGTAGTGCTTTGGAAGTGGAAATTTATGAGTTGTGAGGGTGTAGGGAAATCATAACCTTAATGGGCAAAGAGGAATAGAAAATGGGGTAGCCACTGTGGAAAGCAGCCTGACAGTTTCTGAAGAAGTTAAACATAGAATTATTATATGATTCACCAATTCTACTACTACATATGTATATACAAGATAATTGTAAACAAGTGTTCAAACAAGAAATTGTGCATAAATATTCCCTGTCGCACTATTCCTAACAGCCAAAAGTGGAAACAACTCAGATGTCCATGAACAAATGAATGAAAAAACAAAATGTGGTAAATCCAAACAATGGACTATTATGCAGCCATAAAAAGAGTAACACTGTGACACATGGTACAACGTGGATGATCCTTGAAACATTATGCTAAGGGAAAAGAAGTAAGCAAAGGAGCTCATGCTACAGGATACCACTTATATGAAATTTCCAGAAGAGCTAAGTCTATATAGAGAGAAAGTGGGTAAATGGCTCCTCAGGGAAGCAGCAGAGGGGTGGGGTGGGCTTAATGGCAGTGGGGGACACAGCAAGCTAAGAGTACAGGATTTTATCTTGAGGTGAAAATATTCTAAACTTAGATACTGATGGTGGCAGCTGTAACATGTCTCAATATACTAGAAACAACTGAACTGTACACTTTTAACTGTGTGGATTGTATGGTATCTGAATCATAGCTCAAGAAAGCTGTTACTACAATAAATGATCTGAATAAATGTATTTCCAAAAAAGACACACATAAAAAGATGGTCAACATCCTTAGTCCTTAAGTAAGTACAAATCAAAACAACAGTGAGGTTCTATTTTCAGCTCATTAGGATAGGTAAATATTTTAAAAATATGGAATAATAAATGTAGAATAAAAAGGAAATTGAGAAATTGGAACCCTCATACATGGCTGGAGGGAATAGAAAATGTTGCAGCCATTTTGGAAGATAGTTTGGTATTTCTTTAAAAAGTTAAAGTTATCACATGATTGAGAAGGAGTGGTATTGCTCTCAAGAGATATACTAAATTGAAACATGCCCACCAAAAATATCTTATATGCAAAATGTTCACAGCAGCTTTATTCATAGTGGTCAGAAAGGTGTATACACTCCAACTGCCCATCAACTGAGACATGAATAACAAATGTGATACACATATATACTAGAATATTATTCAGCCATAAAGAAGGGTGAAGTACCAATGCATGTCACAATATGGATGAACCTTTTTTTGTTTTTGTTTTTGGTTTTGGTTTTGGTTTTTCTCTGGTACCGGGAACCGAACTCACGACCTTGCGCTTGCCAGGCAGGCGCTTTTGCCGCTGAGCTAAATCCCCAGCCCTGGATGAACCTTTTTAACATTAGTTCAATAAAAGAAACACATAAACAACCACATCTGATATGGCTTCATTCACAGGAATTATCGAGAGCAGATAAATCCAGAGATAGAATGTAAATGGGCAGGTGCCAGGTGCGCTGTGTGAGGGGAGTAACAGCTAATAGGCAAGGTGTTACTTTCAGATATGATGACAACTGGATAGGGGTAATAGCGGACAGCTTTGTGAATACTCTTAAAAACCACTTAATTCTATATTTTTAAAGTGTGAGTTTTGTAGTACATGAATTACATCCAATAAAAAATGTAAAATAAAAGTGATCTAAATTTATATCAAAATGGTAAGATGTGACAAAGCTGGGTATCTGGTACACAGGTGTGCAACCTCCCTCCTTCTCCCTCCCTTCCCCTCCCTCCTTCTTCTTCTCCCTCCATCCTTCCTGCCTCCCTCTCCCTCCTTACCTCTCTCTCCCTGTCCTTGCCTTTCTCTCCCTCCATCCCTCTCTCCCTCTCCCTCCCTCTCTCCCTCTCTCTCCTTCCCTCTCTCCCTCTCCTTTTCTCTCTCTCTCTCTCCATTATTTTCTCTATGCCCAAAATATTTCTTCTTTTAAAAGGAGGTAGAGCACTTGTTTAGCATGTGCAAGAACCTAGGGTCGATCCCAAGCACTGAAAAAAGTAAATAAATAAAAGGAGGTACAGTAACAAAAAGTGTGGTCTAGCATAAAGAAGAACAGGCTAACAGAAAGGAAGAGGTCTAGAAATAGACCCAAGTTTTCAAGAGAACACAGTGTATTTCAAAGGGTGCATTTCAAATCTTCGACAAGGGTGGGGGTGGCGCCAGATTATTGAAAATATGAATAACCATTCAGAAAAAATAAATTTGGAAGTTGGTGTGCAATTACAGTTTTCACAGTTTCAGGAGTTCAGCGAAACTTCTGATAAACAAAGGACAGTCCTGTGCCCATTTTCTCTCCTCTTGGCAAACAAAAATTTTCCATGAGGTTATTCTAAATAAAACTTTAACAGTAACAATAGTACCAAAAATGTACCATCAACACTTATTAGAATTAATTAAAAGGGTAAGTTGTAATGACTTTCCCTCATTTTTTTCTAATCACCAGTTTGCTTGTAGAGTCCTATATGCAAAGCACGTTATATGTGGAACTGAATATAATTAATCAGCAAACTATCCAATGATTAAGTTTTGTTCATATTTTCAAGGATTTGAAATGCACCCTTTGAAATACACTGTGTTCTCTTGAAAACTTGGGTCTATTTCCAGACCTCTTCCTTTCTGTTAACCTGTTTTTCTTTATGCTAGATCACACTTTTTATTACATAATTCCTTTTATTTATTTATTTATTTTTTTCAGTGCTTGGGATTGAACCTAGGGTCTTGCACATGCTAGACAAGTGCTCTATGAGAGAGGGGGGGAGAGAGAGAGAGGGACACAGAGAGAGAGAGGGACAGAGAGAGAGACGGGGGGGGGAGGGAGAGAGGGAGAGAGGGAGAGAGAGATTGTATACCTGGGAAAAGAAACAACTTCCACGCAAAACTTTTTAGCACCAACTAAGAATAGGTCATTGGATACATGGTGATGTACAAAACAAAGAACAAAATACAGATTGGATAATAGGAATCAGGGAGACAGACTGGAAGTGGGAGGGAGAGGCAGAGAAAGAGAAGTAAAAATAATTGAGATGTGTTATGTACCTGTATTAACTATCCACGATGAATGTAATCACTATATCCTGAAAACATGTATTAATAAAGAATTTTTTAAAAGCCCAACAAGATAAATAGATGACATAATTTTTAAAGAGATGAGAGGCAGATGGGAGTGGAGGAGGAAAAACAACTGCTCGGTTAATGTGAGAGCCAATAGTAAGTTTGTAAGAATAAGACCACTGTGATGACAAGATGACACTAAGGTTAGTTACAACACTCAAGAGAATATAAATTCCTTACCAGGTGTGAGATTAAAAATATCATATTTAAAAGATGGTTTTTGCTCTGTAGTTCAAATCTGATAAAGACAAATGGGAATGTAGGAGGACTAATGAAAACTAGGCAGTCAGAATCTCAGTAGTTGACAGAAAAGAGTGATTTCAAGCAGCTTCAAATACATACATGAAATCATGTGATGACAGATTAGGGAAAAGGAACCTTCCTCAAGAAAAAACCCAGAAGGGAAAAATGGTAACAAGACAAGATAAGAAAATCCATTTAATTCATTCTACCCAGAACTGTACCTGTTTGTAGCAGCATCTTGAACACTGGTGCTTCTATGACTTAATAAGCTATCTTCTCTTGTAACCTAAGAAAATGAAATCATAAAATGTCAAATATTTAAGGATACTATAATTACAAAGGCTTATATTTCTTTCCAATAAAAACATGAATATAAATTTGCTTCAATTCAAATAAGAGGTAATCATACCTTAACAGTTCTGTACCTACCATAATTTCATTCTGTGGCCAAATAACCTAAGATTCAACATCACTGTGTTTGGTATACACATTCACTCGTTCTTAGTACACAGCTGTCAATTATTTAAGATACTGAAGAGTGTTACACTGAAAATATATATAGTATTCATACAGAACCAAACCCAGAATTTTCTGAATTTATATTTTATATAAATTCTGAATTTATATTTATATATTTACCAAACAGAGAAACATTTTAAGCCCTATATTTGGTATTTAGTCTGCCCTAAATGCAAATAATACTTTAAAAAGGACATCCAAAAAACTTTTCTGAAGAGCTTGGTTCCCCCCAACTTTACCTTGGTGTTATTTATATATAGTAAAATGCATGCATTTTAGATGTACAGTCCAATGAATTTTCAAAAATAGTACAGGTGCATAACCAACATATGTAACACTTCCACTATTTCTTTTTCTTTCTTTTTTTTTTTTTTCCAGTACCAGGAATCCATCTCATGACCTCACGCTTGCCAGGCAGGCACTGTGCTGCTGAGCTAAATCCCCAGCCCCACTTCCACTTGTTTCTAACTCCAAAATATTTCCTTGAGCTTCCCTTTAATCTCGTCAAAACCCTTGCTCATTGGCAAAGAACAATCTGTATTTTCTACAGCTTCATGTAAATGGAATCACATAATATCTACCTTTTGGGTCTGCCTCTTCAGAGCAAGATAACGTTTTTAAGATTTATGCATGTTGCACATCTCACCGATTCACTGCTTCTTCATTTGCTGAGTGGCACTGCTCTGCATGGACGTACTGCAATACCTGCTTATCTGTTGGTGGACATTTGTGTTGTTTCCGGTTTCCAGCTATTACAACTAAAGCTGCTGGGAATATTAGTGTACTCATATCTGTGCAAACCTAAGTTTCAATTCCTATAGGGTAAATATCTACAAGTATAATTGGCTGAGTTAGATTTACGATTAACATATTGACAAACTTTCTAAAGGGTTTATGCCATTTATGTTCTTACCAGCAATGTGCGTATGTTGTAGGAGCTCTATCATTACAACACAGGGATGATCAGTCTTTAATTTTATCTATTTTAGCGGAAATATCTTTCTCAGCGAAGTGTGATATCAACAGGAGACTTTTTTCATAGATTTCTTTATCAGGCTGGAGAAATTCCAGTCTATCCATACTTTGCTAAGGGTTTTTGTCATTAACAGGTGTTGAATTTTGTGGAATGCCTTTTTTGTAAGACTCTAGATAATTTAATACATTTTTAATATGTGAACTAGACTGGAGTTTGAATGATAAACCAATTTTTTTCCTGAGATAACCCTACATGGCATGATATATGATCCTATTTGTAAATTGTTGAGTGTGACTTGATCATATTTTGTTAAGAACTTCAATGTCTATGTTCAAAAAGGTTTTTTTCTAGTTTCAGTATTGGGATAATGCTAGGCTTATAAAATGAATTAAGAAGTCCTCTGTCTTCTATTTTTTGAAAAAGTTTTTATAGGACTGTTATTCCCTAAATATTCGGTAGATTTCTGTCATGAAAGCATTGGGTCCTGGATTTTTCTTCATGAAAAGACTTTTTGCTACAAAACCAAATCCCTTTAATTTAGGGCAACTGAAGTTATTTCTTGCTTCTTCAAGTCAAAGAAGATCCAAAAGTATAAATGAAATGTAATGATGCCTTAGCCCACTCAAGTTGCTGTAACAAAATGACACAAACTAGATAGCCTACAAATAGCAAACCTTTATTTCACATACTTTTAGAGGCTGTGAAGTCCAAAGGACCAAGGCACTGGCAGATTCAGTGTCGAGGCCTGTTCCTCTTAGACATGGAAGGTATAAGCAAGCTACTTCAGGGCTTTTTCTAAGAGCATTAATCCCATTAAGAAGGGCTCTGCCCTCAAGATCTAATCACTTTGCAAAGGCTCCACCATCAGCATTACTTTGGGGATTAAGGTGCAGTGCACAGATTTCAGGCACACAAAAACACACAGACCACAGTAAATAGCTATTAAGACTACTACTGCTACCACTATGGTGGTCAACACTCTTTAAATGCTTATTATGTCCTAGGCGCTGTATCTTATTTCATCTTCACAGCACACCTTAAGGTAGGTATTACTATTATCCTAAACATAATTAAACTGAAGCTCAGAGAAATGAACTCATTTGCTGTAAGTCACAAAGTGGGTAGGTGGTAGGAGAGAAATGGGACTCTAGAGCCTGTATTTTCATATTTTGTATTTATTTTTATGTATGTGTTATGCTTTATGTTGCGGGGAGAGGTGAACTAAGAAGCATGAGCAATATTCCTAAAGTCACTCCGGTTCTCTTCAAGGTTGGGCTTGTTATGCACTTTTTAAAGCTTGTTATATACTAGGAAGTCTTTGCTCAGATCCTTTACCCCACAACTAATTGAGCTTTCTTAATTGAGCTCAACTTGAATTTAGATTTGAGGAAGGCATTTCATCATTTTGAATGTGTTCCTTGGTACCACACACAATCTCTAATCATTGAATTCTATGTCTTTTTCACTTCACCAGCACTATGTCTATTAAAGGCAGCTTACCTTATGCACAGCCTCTACTTGAGCCTTCAAAATGTTACTCTTGAAATCAGGAGGAATTCTCGTGGCATTCAATCCTGGGCTCTCAATGGTATTATTAAGACATTTCTCAGTCAACTTTACCACTTCTGCCTAAAAAAGTAAAATTTACCTCAATTAGCCTTGACAGGCCACAGTTATGCAGAAATAGGAAACGACTGATGAAAGTTTGTATTCATACAATCAAGAAATCTTATGTCATAAGCAGCTTCTTCTTATTCCAGGCATAGTCAATTCCTACAGTCATCTACCTGTAGACTCTCCAGAATTCAGAGGTTAGCCTCTACAATTAATCCCACTGGAATTAATAAAACAAATACCACACATTCTCTATGTGTGGCTTAAGTCAGGCCTTTGTCCTTGATGGTTCAATTATTTACTCAGTTGCTTAAAGATGGGGAATTGAATCTAAGGATTTCTAAAGGTTCTTACTAAATCAGATTTCATGTTTTTAGCTTTAGAACCATCACCAAGGAGATGACTATGTCTGGGATTTTATGTAATAGGGCCATAAGCAGGTCACTTGGATAAGACTTATGAAAAAAATAGAATAAAAACAAATATCCTGGCAATGAGAATATAATTAAAACAATGAAAATTAACTATCACAAAAAGATATAAATAGGAGAAAGCAGATTAAATATTTTAAAATGCAAGTTATCTGTACTACAACTGATGTTTTGCTTAACTTAAATAGCAATCATTAACAACAGGCTGGCTGTCAGATACAGGATCACATACTGTACCTCTCTTCCAGGTTTGAAGAGATTTAATGAATATTTATTTTAATTTGGTATTCTAAATATGGACTCCCATATCTGCTCCTGGGTGGTACCCTAAAATCTGAATTTTTAATAAGCTTCTCCATGTGATTCTGATATACATAAAAGCCTGAGAATTATTTCTTTAGACTAGACTATATGCCTATGAGCTCCAAGTTCTAAGAATGGTTCCTACCAGCTGAAAAGTCTTTATGTCTTTTTGAAATCAGGGCTCATTGAAACTACATGTAAGACCCTGTCTTAAAAAAAGAAATATGTATTTTACATCATAAAAAGTAACATCTCTATTTATTAGTTAAGTGGACCAGCCCTCCGATTCCTGGGTAAGTACGGCCTTCCTTTGTGTGAGTCAAGTCTGAAGATTGCCTTCATTCCCCAAACTGAAATTGGATTTCTCATCATACTTTCTGTGTGCAAAGTGCAATGGAGAGAAAGAGACTATTTTTTGCTTATTCCCATTTCAGTGTTTGGATAATAAGTAAATCAAAAGGCTAAAGATACATCCTAGACTATAACAAGTTTAAGGCCAGCCTGGACTGCATAGTGAGATCCTATCTAAAAAGAAAAATTAAAAATTACAAAGAACCAATATGAGGTGGCAACCTGCCACTAGGTTAAATTTCTAACAAAAAAGAGAAGGAATCCATAAACCACACCCCACAGGGAAAATCTGTGCCAGCACCTGTCCATGTAGATACATACCAATGCTCACTCCTCTACGTTACTTTCATGCTTCAATGGCAGAGATGGGTGGCCATGACACAGACTCCACAGTTGGCAAAGACTGAAATATTTAATATCTGCTCCTTTATGGAAAGAGTTACTCTCTAATACAGTCTTCATGCCTTACCTTTAATTGTTTAGCCTCAAAAGACTTGATTGTTAAAGGATATATATACAGTAATTGTCCACTGTCCTTGCTAATAAATGCATTGTAGGTCCTGTTATTTTAAGCATTCTTAAACTTAATTGTTCATTGAAGAAAAAATATGACTCATAAATTAAATTGGGTGATAAAGAAAATTCTGAATTGCCTCAGGTAAATTAAGGGGAGAAAAGTGAAAATCTATAGATCTTGGCATAGTATAAGCCCTAAAGGAATTCAAAGACACAGAACAAGAAAGAGCACAAAGAGTAAATGAACTATGGAAACCAGGAGGCACCAAGAGTGAACAATCTCTATGGAAATCCTTAGAGTTACTACATCTTAAAGTTGACAGCATAATCAACAGTCCATCTAACCACCAAAATATGGTGGTTCAGCTTTTATCTTATACTAAGGAACCAGCATTCTGGGGTTGTTGCTTTCTTAGTGATTCAATCTGCCGATGACCAGTGGAAAATGCTTCTTAAGGTGAGATCTGCATACCTCTAACATAGGCACTGACCTTAATTTTTCTCTGAGGCTATTAAAAAACAAGTCACATTAATTCCTCTTTCACATAACAGCTTTTAAGCCAACTAAATGTGGCTGAAGTGCTCTCTCCGAAGATTTCTACGTGGTGATCTTCAAGCTCATGATGTCCAGTTATAAATTAGTTTCAGGACCCTTTACCATATAGAATCTCTCAACCTGCTTCAGGTTTTTTCCTGTATCATTTTAAAATTATGGTATCCAGAAATGAACAAAATACATACTATGGTTAGGACATCCCCACACCTTTTCTTGTGGTACAGAGGGTAAAACCCAGGGGCACTCTATTACTCAGGTACATTCCCAGCCTTTTTTGAGACACATTCTAGCTAAACTGCAAAGGTGGACTTGACTTGTGATCCTCTTGCTTCAGCCTCTTAAATGCTGGAATTACAGGCTTATGCTACCATGCCATGCTGGACTTCCCTTCTTAAATTCTTTCAATTAATATATCATAGCTGTTCTGTGACTGATTAATACTTCATGTATATATTGCTAATTTATTTTCACACATGTTGCTAGTATATTCTAGCCCTCCACCTTAATCTTGTATTTGTAAGGACATACCTATTTTCTTAAATCCAGTCCATCATTCCAGCTTTTCAAAGTCTTCATGGAGGCTGGGCATGGTGGTGCATACCTATAATCCTAGCACTCGGGAAGCTGAGGCAGGAGGATCACTCTGAGTTGGAGGCTAGCCTAGGCTACAAAGTGAGCTCAAGACCAGCCTGAACTGCATAGTGAAACCTTGTCTCAAAAAAACAAAAACAAAACAAAAGCAAAAATTTAAAAAAAACACAGTCTTCATGGATCTGGATTTTGCCTTTAACAACTGTATACACCAGACATTATCATTTGAAAACTCCATTAGCTTAAGAGATATTGGTCAGGAAGTGATCACTGGAATGGCCATTTGCAATACTAACTTCTACTGGGCTCTCAGGTTTAGACCTTCTCGTTCATCTGTGAGCTCCACATAATATTCTGTCTTACAAAAAATAAACAAGAAGCAATGTAGAACTGAATTAACAGTTACAAAAATGTCACAGGTGACTGCCAGTCCCATGCAATACAGGCCTGCGGTGGCCTGAAAGCTCTCTGCAGTGGGTTCTCATGACTTGGTCCACTCTGCCAGCAGTGCTCATCTGAGCACTACAATTGTATCGTGGACTCAGACTGCCTTGGTTGCACCATTTTCAGAGCTAGTCCTTCAGCGACTGTAGTTTGCTTCAGAAAAATGTATTTTAGAGTAGGTTTTTTTTTTTTTCCTGAAAATACTTTGGTAAGACTGACACTAAAATTAATTTCTATTCCTTAAACAAACATCACCTGTTGATACAAAGTTAGAAAATCAGCTTGGATTAAAAATGTGTCACATGCCAGGTGTGCTAGCACACGCCTGTAATCTCAGCACTCAGGAGGCCAAGGCAGGAGGACTGCTGTCAGTTTGAGGCCAGCCTGGGCTACAAAGTGAGTTCAAGACCAGCCTGAATTGCATAGAGAGACTTTGTCTCAAAAAAAGACAAAAAAAGTGTCACATTAATAAAACATAAATCAAGTTTTTGACAACACACTAACTAGTTAGTGTAGTCTGATGTTCCTTATGTATTAGTACAATATTGAATTCTTCTTTCTACTCTTCTCTGGCACAGAGCAAGCCCTCACTAAATATTAGCTATTTTCTTCCTAGCTATGTGCTCTCCCAAGTGCTCCTTGATGGCACACTGTCCTTTATCTAGTTCAGTGATGGAGAACCTTTTAGAGACCAAATGCCCAAACTGCAACCCAAAACCCATTTACTTATTGCAAAGCGCCAACCCTGCCCCATGTGTGCTATCTGATGCTGGGCAATTTGGCTCATGTGTACCATAGGTTCAATCCCATTGACCTGGTCCAATTTTTTACTCTTCTTTTTATCCTGAACTCATACTCCTTCCTCATTTTTTAAGGATTCAAGATTAATGTAATGGCCAGGCATGGTGGTGCACTCCTGTAATCCTAGCATTTGGGAGGCAGTAGGATTACCATGAGTTTGAGGCCAGCCTAGGCTACCTAGTGAGTTCAAGGCAAGCCTGACCTACATAGTGAGACTCTATCTCAAAAAAAAATAAATAAAAAATAAAAACAAACAAACAAGATTAATGTAATAGATCCTCTGTCTCAGAGGCTCAGTAATACTACAGCAAGATAGGCAGGGACTCTAGTCTGCTACTGAAGTTTTGTATACCAATAATCATCTGTTTTCAATTTACTCTTCCATTTTTGACCTTGCATTATAAAGATATAAACAAATTGTAACTATGAAAGCAGACAGACAAATATAATAAATACTGAAGGGTCAAGAAAATGGTAAGTCTGTCTGAAATTCAGTTTCTAAAAGTATTTCTAAGAAAAAATTGGAAAGGATGAAAGGGAGAAAAAAGGAAGAGAAGATATGCATCCAGAAAAATACTTTTAATACCAGCAATAATAATGCAAGAAGGGTAGTCACTTTCTACTCTATACTGGTCTCTAAACAAATTACTTAGTTATCCAGTGATGACACAACACAGCAAATCAATTCTTCTTTCTTCTTTAAAAAGAAAAAACAAGTCATCTGGGCCTTGTTTTTCTGTTTGTCTGTTTATTGTTGAGACAGGGTTTTGCTATGTAGTTCAGTCTGGCCTTGAGCTCACTATGTAGCCCAGGCTGGTCTCAAACTTGCAGGGATCCTCCTGCCTCAGCCTCCCAAGTTCTGGGATTACAGGCATGTACCACCATGCCTACCTGGCCTTATTATGAGTTGTCTACATATAGAAAAAAGGGGGTTTCTCCAGATCATTGCTTAAAAGCACTATTTTATTTAGGGTGGACATCTTTTTTTTTTTTTCATCTTTTTGAGATGGTCTCCCTGTGCAGTTCAGGCTGGCCTTGAGCTCACTTTGTAGCCCAGGCTGGCCTCAAACTCACAGTGACCCTTTTACCTCAGCCTCCTGAGTGCTTGGGATTACAGGCATGTGCCATAGGGTGGACATCATGTAGCTGATATAATTATAGAATTTTTACCTCATTCAACTTATTTTAGTTATCCCTGTAAATTAAATATAGAAATAAAATTTTTAAAAATTATAAAAATAAACCAAAGTTAAATTGATGTGCAAATCTCAATCCATGGTACAAAAAACAAACAAACAAAAAAACCCCACCAAAACGAAAACAAAACAAACAAAAAGCTCTCAAAGAGGACAGAGATAAAGGAATGCAAGATGAAGCTGAAGCATATGAAATTCTATTTTCTTCTTTATTTTCTCTACTAAGCAGCTCTCTTCAAACAAATCCTGCTGTAATTTCAAAAAACTTTTAGCAAGTTATTCAAGCAGATGGGCTAAATCAAAACGAAACATTTAACAGCAGTAACACTTTTGACTGTGTATTTTAAAAAGCAATCATTATATGACCTTACAATTCTTAACAGTATTGTGCAAGTTTCCCCCTTTTCCTACTGAACATTCATAAATTTCATCTTTTTAAATAAGAAAATAGGTTTATAAAAGCTCAGCACAGACAGATACATATTTCCTAGTAAAAGATAAGAAAGTATTGTCTTTAGAAAGAAAAGATTTCTGGGTGCTCTAGTGATGTGTAATAGCGAGAGAGCAGAAAGATCTGAATACCTGGCTGTTGATGTTAACATCAACATTGGATCGCGGGGATGGCAAAGGACTGTTCTCTATCTCCAGCTGCTTGAGCTTCTCTGATGCATCTTTCAACACTGAAAAACAGTTGTGACGGTGGGAGAAAACCTATCAGTTTGCAAGACTGTCACAGGTCTGTGAGGGTACAGATGTAAGATTTGTTTTTCAACAACAATTACATCCATGAAAAGTAATAATCCAGATGAACATAAAATAAATGTATTTTCTTTCTATAACCAGGTTACTATCAACTAATTTAAGATTTATATAATGCAATCCTCAGTAGTGTCCTGTGTCTGCACTTTTCCTGTGTAACTGCATATGAACTCTCAATAGCATATGTGCTTAAGAGACTTGAAGGGCACAGAACACTTGACATAGACTTTTTCTTCTATAACCTCAGCTCAAGCTCTGACCTCAGTATCTTGTTGTCTTCATCTCTGCTCCTGACTACATACTGCCTAAAATTTATTTGGAGTAAAGTGATAAATGGACACATTCATTCATTCAGCATATGATACCCTGGAACCACTGGGTGTAAGGCAGGACAAGGCTTTTGTCTTTAATCTTTTCCATAGCTGTAAAACATGGACTGTTATAAAAAGACCTCTAAGATGATACAATAAAAATAATTTCTCCTTAAGTGAACTCTTTAAATAACCACGGTGAAATAATCTTATACTGCAAGGATTAATTTGGTGTGAGTTTAGATTTTTTACACTAATGGTACATGACAAAAAAAATTTGTTGAATGCCTAATAATTTCCATATTATCAGGCAGAAGGGAAGGGAAGATTATGAAGTCATATCCCCTGGGTCTAAGAGATCATCTTAAAGTGCCATCAGTTAACCCAGTAGATTCTTTCCTAGTTTCAGATTAGAATTAAAGCCTTTGGGAAAGAGTCATTTCCAGGGCTCACCCTAGAATAATTATGTCAGTCTCTGGAAGTAAGATTCTTGTAGAGCTTTTAAAAGCTACAGGTGATTTTTCATATATAACTAAAGCAGAAAGTTCCTAATTCAACACTAGTATCAAAATCTTTGTTACTCATTTATCCAATTCCCATCTCTGGTTTTGCTATGCTTCAAATTATTTGATACTGAATTCTAACATGATGGTGATTCCACAAGTGCCCCAGTTTATGCTGTTAAATATATACATTTAGGCTAAAACTATAGAATCATGTTGACTTAAATAAGTCAAAATATCATAGACCCTCTTGCCACATCTTATAATAATTGTGTCAGACTCAGAGATTTATGAAAACAACTTCATGATTTTCTCTCCACAGATAGAAACTAATAAGATCTCTAACCAAGTAGTTGAAATAAGGCTGTTTCTGCTATTTGTTTGACTGACAAACATACGGAGATATAGCATAAGCTGATTAAAGTTACTATTTGTAACTACTTACCTTTGTGAATCAGGATTTTAACATTATAACAAAAATAAAATATACAGGGGCTGGGGATTTAGCTCAGC